TACTTTCCCTTCTCAAGATGAGGAGGTGAACCCAGTAGCAATAGGCCTCGTTATTCAGACAAGGGATACTATGCCAAGTTTGACCCATCCAACCACTAGCTTACTACGATGAGATGTGCCTTCATTCGGCATCTTGCTTTCAGATACAATTGAAGCCTCGTAATCGTCAATCCGTTTCAAATCGTTTAAATAATAGTTCAAAACTGTCCTTTTATTTCAATAAATTATCCCTTAAATCAAATTTAGGCCGGTACCCCGTTGTCGCTGAAACCACTTCAAAACGGCATCTTTTTCTGTAATAATTCAACTTTAAGGCGATACTGTAAACTATTGATCTCGTCGTCGAAAAATTTCAATATCGGTTATGGCACACGAATGGATGCGAAGAGGTACGAAGATATTTTGGCTACTGTCACCTTGCAACGGTATATTGTCCGTGCATTGTGCTGCTACGCGAGGGCTTGCAAGGGGTCAGGAGCCCTCTTAGGCAGGCTGAGGCGGTGATGCTGTCTGCAACTCGTCAATGTCATCCTTCCGCGACCATAACCTCACAAAGTGCTCCCTATCTCTGAATCCGTTGGGCTGGATGAAAATTGGGGAGAAGTTAGTAATAGTTGACGATGGATCGCATTCAGAATGAATGTCAAACAACTGCTCACCAAAAAACGCTGAAAAATAAATGGAAGCTGCGAACATAAGTTCAGACTATTGCATCGATCTCATGACTGATAAACGAACCTGGAAATTTATAAAAATTTTCTTGACCAGTTATCGTGCAAAAACGCAATCCACAGACCCATATATCGATTCATACATGACAGTAAAAAAGAACATCAAAGAGACCTTCATTGGAATATACGAGACCAGAAGATCTAGCGAACTTGCTGCGCAACGGAACAAAGAATGACCAAATGTTCCGCGGGAAGGTTTTCTGCAACGGAGCTCAGACAGGGGTCATTGGGTTCACAATGAAAAGGAAGGCTGTACCGTTTTTACTGAGCTGTGATATTATAGTACCTCGCATAGTAATTCTAATTCTGAAGAAGAACAAAAGAAATACAATAAAAATAATCCAATCTTACAGCCGAACCTAACAAACGGAAGAAGAACAGATCGAGCAATTCTGTGAGGATTCAGAAAGCACAAATGATCCACTTTGTGATCTCTTACGTCGACCGGCTGCATCTCCGTCGAAACATATGATCGTTTTAGCTTCTCTTACAATCGTAGAGGGCAGAAATCAAACAGGTGATAAATTTGACACTCGGAACGTGATCCCGGTGGAACAGCTTGAGCAGTATTCGCTACAGCTTTCTTTGCCTGATCATCCGTTTTGTTGCCTCTGATTTAGTAGTATAGCAGTATTCAGCCTCGCAATGACTTTAGAAGGTGGTATAGCTGAATCGAGCACGAGCACCTTACTGTCGAGTAACGAGGATTAATACTACTTTGGCTACCCAACGACGCATTCTCTCTTTTGCTGGAATCTCTGTTTAGCGTGTTCATGTGGTCCACGTGATGACCGAGGTATACATAGCTGAAGACAAGTTCGAATTCTTTCTACCAAGTACTTTCAGTCCTCGGGGCAGTGCTCACTTAGCATCGATTTTGTCATCGAGATGCTAACCTCGAATCTGACAGTGCGAGATTTTTTGCAGTCGCTGTATCTTCTGTTGGAGTACCATAATGCCCTGGGAGAAGTCCAAACAGTCGTCCGCGAACAGCCAGTGCGTTAGCTACAATACATCAATACTGATATTGCCACACAAGTCTAACCGGTTGAAGAATGACCCCCTACGCCACGCCGAAGAACGCTGGTAAAACTGTTTCTCCTTGGCGCACTCTTCTATGAACACTGATGTGGCATGGTGCTGAACAGCTTGAAATCAGCCGTACAGTTGGCTTGCAGTTTCTCTGTCACGATTACGGAAACAGAGTTCATGTCATGTTTAAACAAGGAGTTTATCAGAACCGCAGTTATGCCCAATCAAGCGCTATCTGGAAGTTGACAAGGGCAAAACAGTATGGCACTTGATGTTCGTTGCATTTGTTGTTAGTTGCTGCTGGATGACATGGTCGATGACAGTCCTGTTGGAAAACCTATTCTCGACTTGTGAATACTTTGAGGTCCAAAAAAACACGGCTGGGAATGATCAGGGCGACAATTTTATAGATTGGTAACAGAAGTGCGATTGGTCGATTGTGCAATTGGCTCACTCGGTCGTCCAAACACATGCCGGGATGATCCGACTGATAGATTATTTGGTCGGCGGTAGAGGCATAGAGCAAAAAATAGAGAAT